CCCAACCTAACATCCCTAGGACCCTGCTGTGATTCCACCCAAAAGCGCGGGGCCTGACGGCACACAAGTGCTCCCACCGGGCTGCAGACACGCTGCTTCACGGAGGAGAATATAAGGATAAAAGCTGATGGATTAGACTTCACAATACTTCCCTGTTGTACAGGATCTCCTTGTAAAATAAGTAACTGCAGTGTATATCAGTTTTACTACCAACATTAATTATTAAGTATTTTAGAATTTTTTAAAAACTAAAAAAAATCTAAAAATTCTCTAAATTTTGCAAGAGACATAAATCTATAAAAGATTTATAGAGGCTGTATGAACCCCATACATTCAAGAGGCTGTATGAACCCCAAATGGGGTACTCCCAAAGAATCCCACGAAAAATCTTGAAGACAGCCACAGAAAAATGACACTTCAGCTCCAGGGGAAAAAAACACCTCTAAAAGCATGGAAGCTAGAAGAAAACTTACCCGATTTGTGTGTGTGTGCACACGCGCATGGCCGTGTGTACTGAAAGAAAAGAATCGTCAACCCAGAATCCTGTGCCCGGAGAAAGAATCTTTCAGAAATAAAGGGGAAATCAAGACATTCTCAGATAAACAAAAATGAAGAGAATTTGTTGTCAGCAAACTTACTCTAAAAGGATGGCTAAAGCAAGTTCTAACAAAAAGAAAACAAAAGAAAAAACTTAGGAGTGTTATAAAAAGAAACAAAATGTAAACAAAGCTATGGGTAAATAGGCTTTTCTTCTCCTCTTAAGTTTTCTAACTTACGTTCAAGAGTTAAAGCAAAAATTGTAAATGTCACCCATGTGGCTCTAAGTGTTTATAGAGGAAATATTTAAGATAATCACATTATAAATAGGGAGGTAAAGAGAGGAAAGGCTTTGCCGAAACTGGTAAAATGACAACACCAGACTGTGATGTTACAACAATGTAATACACCCAGAGCAATCATTCATAAAACTATATCAAGTGGTATAAGAGAAAACACTATAGATATATATCAAAGTGGAATTTTATAAAATGTTCAGGCCACCCATAGGAAGGTAGGGGGGAGGGCAAGAAACAAAGAAACAAAAACCATAGAGAACAAATAGAAAATAAAAATAAATGGCAGACTTAAGCCTTAACATATAAATAATTATAGTTAGTGTAAATGGTCTACAAACACCAAATAAAAGACAGATTGGCAGAGAAAATTAAAAACATGACTCAACTATATGTTGTCTATAAGAAAGTCATTTCAAACATAAGAATATACATAGGTTGAAAGTGAGAAGTTGAGAAAAGATCTTAAAATTAATGAAAATAGAAAAACTTCTAAAGGTAACGGTAAATGGCTAATTAACATTTTTCAATGTTCAACCTCAAAAGTAATCAAATAAATTAAGTTAATAATAAGTTTAAATTTTTTCTCCCAAAATAAAACTTGTTAATTCTTTTTCTTTTATTGTGGTAATATACAAGGTCTGTCTGGAAAAATTCCAGCCATTGTTAATATAACAAGAACAGTTTGTATGACATCAATATAACCTGGCAGCCAAGGAAAGTGGACTGGAATGCGCATGCGTGGGGGCGATAGACGCCATCAAGTGAGCATGTGTACTGAGTGGTCATCACATTCAAAATGACTGAGCAGGAAGAGCAATGAATCTGCATCAGTTTGATGTTAAGCTTGAACTCCTCAGTGGAAATTATTCAGATGATTCGATGAGATTCAGGAAAATATGACAGGGCAGCTGATGGTGACTAGGAAAACTGGGTGAGGTCCCAAGTTGCCTACTGTGAAGAAGACTGAGGCATCATTGTCCTGTGTACAATGTTTTTTGTATCTTGTTTCCTCCTCAATAAATGTCCCTATTTTTCATAGTACATGCCTGGATACTTGCTGCACAGGCCTCATGTGCGTGTGTGTGTGTGTGTGTGTATGAAAACTTGCCATTCAGCCATATTTTTACATTTCAAAAACTGGAATATAATTGACATGGCATTACATCAGTGTCAGGTGTATGACAATGATTCAATATATGTATATATTGTAAAAAGGTTAGCACAATGGATCTAGTTAACACCCATCACCACACCATTGCAAATACTGTTTTACCATGAGAACTTTTAAGATCTACTCTCTTAGCAACTGTCAAATATATAATGCATGCAGTATTATTAACTACAGTCACCATGCTGTATGTTACATCTGCACTTACCACTGGCTACAGCCGGTCTGTTGTATCTGTGAGTTCTTGTCTTTCTTATCATCCAGTATTTGTCTTTGTCTGCCTTATTTCATTTGGCATTATGCCTTCAAGGTTTCTCCATGTTGTCACAAGTGGCAGAATTTCCTTCTTTTTATGGCTGAATAATATTCCATTACGTGTGTGTATACACACATATGTATATAGATATATATGTACATATCTATATATACATGTATACACACACATATCACATTTTCTTCATTCATTCATTGATGGACACTTAGGTTGTTTCCATGGCTTGACTATTGCAAATAACACTGCATTAAACTTGAAGGTGCAGGTATCTTTTCCAGTTAAATGTTTTTGTTTCCTTTGGATAAATACCCCAAAGTGGAATTGTGGGGTCATATGGTAGCTCTTTTTTTTATTTTTTTGAAGAATGACCAACTGTTTTCTACAGTGCCTGCATCAGTGTACATCCCACCAATTCCAATCCACAGTGCACTAGGGTTCCCTGCTCTTCACATCCTTGCCAACATTTTCTTCTTTTCTCTTTGATGACAGTCATTCTAACTGGTATGAGGGGATGTTACATTGTAGTTTTGATTGGCATTTCCCTGATGATTAGTGATAATGAACACCCATTCATGTACCTGTTGACCATTTGTACATCTTCTGCGGGAAATGTCTCTTTAGATACTCTGCCCATTTTAAATAGAATTGTTTTTTATTAAGTTATATGTACTCTTGATTTGTTTTGGATATTAACACCTTATCAAATATAGAAATGTACAAACATTTCTCCCACACCACAGGTTACACTTCCATTTTGCTGTTGGTTTCTTTGCTATAAAGAAGTTCTACAGTTTGATGTAATCTCACATCAAATGTAATGTTTATTTTTGCTTTTGTTGTTTTGTTTTTGGAATCAAATCTAAAATACCACAGCCAAGATGGAAGGAGCTTTCTGCCTAAGCATTCTTTTAGGAGTTTTATGGTTTCAGGTCTAATATTTAAGACTTTAATATATTTTGAGTGGATTTTTGTGTACGGTTTAAGATAGTGATCCAATGATCCCACGCTGCTTATTGAAGAAAGATTATCTATTCCCCATTGTATATTCTTGGTTCCTTCATTGTACATGACCATGTTGTAATTGACCATGTATGTGTGTGGTTTACTTCCAGGCTCTCCATTCTATTCCATTAATCTACTTTTCTGCTATATGGTTTTATTATAGCTCTGTAATATAGTTTGAAACTAAGAAGCATGGTTCCTCCAGCTTTGTTCTTCCTCAATATTGCTTTGGCTATTTGGGATCTTTTCTGGTTTCATACAAATTTTAATATGGTTTGGTATATTTCTCTGAAAAATGCCATTAAAATTTTGGTAGGGATTGCGTTGAAGCTGTAGGTTGCTTTGGGTAGTATGAACACTGTAACAATATTACATCTTCCAAAACACGAGCACACAACATCTTTCCATTGGTGTCTTCAACTTCTTTATGTCTTACCCTTGTCAGTACACAGGTCTTTCAATCCCAGGTTAAACTCACACCTAGGTATTTCAGGAGGGTTTTCTCCATGTAATATACATGAGATTATTTTATTATCTTTCTGATAGTTCATTATTAGTCTGTAGAAACACAAATGACTTTTGTATATTGACTTTGTATTCTGAAACTTTACTGAATTTGTTTAGTTCTATCAGTATTTTGGTGGAGTTTTTAAGGTTTTCTACACATAGTGTCATGTCATCTGCAAATAATCACAACCTTTCTTCTTCCTTTCTGGCTTGAATGCCTTTTATTTCTTTGTCATGATTAATTGGTCTGGTAAGGACTTCCAGTAAGATGTTCAGTAAAAGTAGTGAGAGTGGGCATCCTTGTCTTCTTCCTGAAGTTGAGAGAAAACTTTTTGGCTTTTCAACATTGGGTGTGATATTAACTGTGGGTTTGTTGTATACGGACTTTGTTATGTTGAGGTATGTTGCTTCTATGCCCAATTTGTTGAGTTTTTTTAATCATAAAAGGAAGCTGAATTTTGTCAAATGCTTTTTCTTTCTCTATTGAGATAGTCATATAATGTTCATCCTTCAGTATGTTAACGTGGTGTACAATACTGATTCATTTTGTAATGTTGAACCAACCCTAGCATCCCTGGAATAAACCCCACTCAATTATGGTATATGATCCTTTTCATGTATTGTCAAATATTTTTTAGAAAGTTTTATTTCTTTTTAGAGAGAAGGGAAGGGAGAAAGAGAGAGAAACATCAATTGGTTGCCTCTTGCATGTACCTTCCCTGGGGATGGACCTTGCAATGCAGGCATGTGCCCCTACTGGGAATCAAACCAGCTACCGTGAACTGAACCAGCAATCTTTCAGTTTGCACGACGACACTCAGCCCACTGAACCACAGCTGTGAGGGTCTGTTCGCTAATATTTTATTGAAGATTTTTGCATCTATGTTCATCGGGGATATTGACCTGTTAAGTTTATTTTCTTGTAGTGTCCTTGTCTGGTTTTTGCTTTGTAAAATTTGGAAATGTTCCTTCCTCTTCTATTTTTTGGAAAAGTTTGAGAAGGGCTGATATTAATTCTTCTATAAGTGTTTAGAAATATATAACCCAAAGATTTATATATATATATATAGGAAATTAATTCTTATTTAGTATAGTAAAAAAAAAAATTTAAACCAAAACAGATTAGACAAATAAATGATTCGGAGAATATAAGAATCAAAATATCTATGTTTTGAAACATGATTAATGACTAGAAGGAAATCTGCTAATAATAGACACTAAGAAATTACATATCAAAATGTTAAAAGAATTATATCTGTGGAACAAAATTAGTTTTTAAATTTTATTTATACCTTTTTGTATTTTCAAAAATTTCTACTAAGATCATATACATATAAGCAGGACAAACTTTTAAATAAAACACAAGTGACAAATGAATTCAACCACGTGACCCTCACTCCCTCTCCTTCCCCCGGTGGGCCTGCGCAGAACTCCTCCCGCCTTCCCGGTTTGGGCCTGCGCCCCAGCACGGGACGCAGGAAGTCTGAGAGTTCCGTAGGGCTTCCTCTAGTGTGGGCACAGCCACGGCTTTCCACGGGTTTGCTTTTCCAGCCACACTCCACTTAACTTTTATTAAAAACCTCACAAATGAAACGAGGTTCCTCCTAAGTCTTTCTGTGATCATTTGGTTGAAAGAAATTAAAGGTCCGAGGAAAACAAAGTCCAGGCTTGCGGGGGCAACCACGTGGGTGGAACACTGGGCTACAGTGAGGCAGTTTTTCAAAGCGCTACGCCCTGCGGCAGGGTAGTTTTCAATAAACATAAGTAGGGAATATTTAAATAGCACCCAATTTACTTTTTATTCTCATAAAAAGGGAGGGATGAAAGAGGGGAGGTGCGGCTACAGCTCCATTAAAAGCCACAGCTGAGCCAACAGCAGGGAGGAAGCCAATGGAGGTACCTGAAGTACAAATTATACACAGCTCGTGGTAAAAGATAACGCACAACTTTCCCTCTTCTCAACCATGCCTACATTTATGATATAATCTGGGTACATTACTGAAGGACATTCCTTACTTGGGCCAAGAAATCCTTCTGTTCCTACAGTGGTTCCCTGTGTACCCATCAGAAGTTCACATTGGAGGGCGAAGTTACTTCGATCAGCAAATCATAACATAAAATATTTAAGTATTATTTTTACAGAGAGCGCAAATATTTTTCATGTCATTAAAGCCTTCAGGTACCTTGGGAAAATAACGATGCTTAAATAACCTCCTTTAATGAAGCAGAAACCGGGCAATGCAGAGAATCTCTCACAAGGTTTCGTGTAATATCTGATTTGGAGCTCAAGGCACCAGCACAGATCCTAAGTCAATGAGATGGTTATTTGACCCAATAAATGATGAAGTACGATATTAAGCACAGATCTGAAAAGCACAGACATTCTCAATCCCCCAAGCTTGCTTGAAATAGTAATTACTGATGTTTCAGAGTGTTTGTCCTATGTTTTACAAATGAAGAAGTAAAAAATAAGCCTGTAGCCCTGGCTGGTATGGCTCAGTGGATTGAGCACTGGTCTGCAAACCAAAGGGTCTCCAGTTCCATTTCCAGTCTAGTTCACGTGCCTGGGTTGCAGGCCAGGTCTCAGGTAGAGGGCACACAAGAGGCAACCACACATTGATGTTTCCCTTTCTCCCTCCCTTCCCCTCTCTAAAAATAAATAAATAAAATCCCTAGAAATAATAAGCCTGTAGTATTTTGTCCTTACTTTAATTTCACCTGAAAAGTTTCTTTAAAATAACAGCAGAAAAGTGTGTCTTGGTTACTCTTTGGTCGATAATTTATCTCAGAGGCGCCTGGAATTATGCTTAAAGCTCAAGGTCTCTGCCAATGTGAGAGTGTGGGTGGGGCGGTAGAGTGGGAGGGAGGATATCAAGCCCACCCAACTCCTGGAAATTTTAAAGAAATGATAAAACTTTCCAAGAGAAATAGTCATTTTGGTAAATGAAACCATTTGTAACTTTAGAGGAGCTTTCTTTCTTTCTCTCCAACATATCATAAAAAAAATCCACACTAAGCTCTAATAGGCTGTAAAGCTTTGGTTTCTAGAAGGGTCAACAAGAGCTAAAACCACTAATATCATACTGGAAGAAGAAAGAGTGGGGAGGCAGTGAGGCCCCAACCCTTTCATGATCCCAGTGAAAAGTCTCACCCAGGCGAAAAACCATCTGCCCAATGCATGCCAAGGACAAACTTTACAGCCATGCTGAAATCTTCTGTGCATGTAAGCAGTGCTGTAAAAATAATGACAGATTCAGCATCCTTGGAAGTTTTTTGCTTACAGATATAAAAGATAATTATTGAAATAGAAAGCTCGAACCTAGGAGGGAGAAATGGAAACAAAAGACAGACAAATGGAGGCAGAGGGGGAAAAGGGCAAAAGAGAGACGATGACATATGAAGAGAGAGTCAGAGACAGATGCAGCAGCCAGGCCTACATGCTCAGGGGAATGGTCACTCGTCAGGCAAACGAAATGCCTCCATCTCCTAGTCTTTTGGAGGCTGAGCAAACTCTAGTTACATGAAAAAAACAAACCCGACCAAGGTCAAACACATTTGGGGAGAACTATTTTGGGGCTCTTTTTTTTTTAAGACAGGCTTGAGGAATGAATTCCCATTCTGTAGTCCTCACCAAAAACCCAGTAAAATGGCTAATTTCAGTTCAGTATAGAAAGAAGTCAACATATTTCTCAGTAAGCCACAGGGGATGGCTGCCATTTCTCGAAAGGACAGGGACAGCTGCCTGAAAATACTAGAAACATATCAAACAGTACAGGCTCACAGATTTTCCAGTCAACAGGGTCTCTGAACATCTAACGTAACAAACTTACTGTAGAAATCAACTGAGGGCCAGGAATTGTCATACTGTCAAAATCTAAAAAGGGAAGAACTGATGGTAGAGAAGGAGGGGTGCGATAAAAACTGCTGGGAGTTAGACCACGGCCCAAAATATCAGAATCTAACCTATTAGAAAACATCCTCAGAGAAAATCCCCTATTAGGTAAAAATATTAGGTAAAAAATATCCAAGGTCTGGAATTAGACTGCCTGACCAACAAGCTGGGCCCCACCACTTTTCTAAGTTGGTTTCCTCAGGTATAAATGAGGACAATAGTATAGCCATTCTCCATAGGGTGGCCATGAGGAATAAACGATATACATAAAGAGCAAATAAAAAACTCTGGGATATAGTAAAAGCTATTACTATTATATTAAAATAAAGTAACAGCGACCTAACATTTATTTGTTATGTGCCTGAACTGTGGTCAGAAGCTATCAGAATGCTATATTTATCTACGAAATTTCACATCACAGGCCAAAGGTGTTTTAACGCTCTTCCTAAGGACGAAGTAACTGAAGGCTATACACCTGGTCAGCTACTGAAGTAGAAATCAATCTGCATTTGACCACAAGGTCAGTGAGCTTCTACTACAAACATGTTTATTCTAAAAATGCATTGATCAAATACATATTTCAATAAAGATCTATATAAAAATGTTCATGACAAATTCTGATGGCACTGTCAAAGTGGAAAGTAGTATATTGTACATAATTTCCGGAGCCATAGCTCTTTTTCTGAAAAAAGTAAATTGAAACAATACCTTCACCTCATAGGATTTTTGTGAAGACTAAAGAAGGTGATGCACGTGAAATGCTTAGCACAGTACATTAAGCAATCAAATGTTACCAACAGCCACTATTATTCATTATATAAAATTCAATATGCAGCAGAGAAATTGTATGGGCTGCATATAACACAAGGAATAAGTAAAGATATTAAATATCCTATTCACTCCCTTTTAATTCTGTAAGTTTCCCAGACGACACAGGTTTCCTTCATAAGTAAGGAAGCGCATGATTCAAAATTATATTAATTTAATTTTCATGACCACACTCTTAAAACACTTCTGTGTCAGTCAAGAACATCTAATTTCCATGTAGCTATTTTTGTAAATGTTAATGATACTATAGTCCTTGGGATTCTTTAGTAATTTCTCTTTATTCTTAAAATCATTGGTTAAAAATAAACCATAGTGTTCATTCTTAAAAGCACAGTGCTGAAGCAAGCTAGAGTGAAAATTCCACTATCAACAGCAGGAGCTGATAGAAGCATCTCCCCAGAGCCTTTAATTTATTAGTATTTTGACCAGATAGAAGGCAAAATTTAGTTACCATTTTGGAACAGGTGGAAAAACAGGCATAATGTGGGCCAGTTAAAGATCCCATATATCCTGGGACAAGGATTAATGGACAAGAAAAGAAAAACAAAAACATCATCTATCTTTCAGGTATAGTTTCATATCCGAGTGCTTCTTCTTAAGTTTATTGAAAACCAGATATTATTGTTCAGAATTTGAGGTGGAGAGGTTTTTCTGAGAAAGCTACACTAAGAAAGAAAGAAACAAACAAAAGAAAGAAAATAAAGTTTAACATATGAAAACACAAGTCTACTGGATGAGATTTGAACAGCTCTTACAAGTTTCAAAGCAGCTAAGAACTCCTAGGATTCTGCCCTGCCTGGTATGGCTCAGTGGATTGAGTGTGGGACTATGAACCAAAAGGTTGCCAGTTCAATTCCCAGTCATGCCTGGGTTGCAGGCCAGGTCCCCAGTAGGGGGAATGAAAGAGGCAACCACACACTGATGTTCTCTCCCTCTCTTTCTCCTTCCCATCCCCTCTCTCTAAAAATAAATAAAATCTAAATTCTTAAAAAGAAAAGAAAGAACTCATAGTTCTTATAGCAATAAACATTGTAGCGTATAAAGGCCCACAAAGGCCCAGCGGGAATCCACACTCATATGTGATGCCATAACAGAAGACCAAGGTGTGCGGTTCATTTAGAATCAGGGCTTTGGGGGGCTTCTTTTATACTTTAATCCATATTTTGAAAAAACAATTAACAATGTTTTTGAGAGGAATAGAACCAGTTTTGCCACCTACTCCCAGCCCCCAATTATAGAATAAATTGGGCATTACAAACACAATTCCTTTAGTTTGCATTTTCTCACAAATAGATGGAAAAGAAATGTGACCTTGGGCAATCACCATTCTCTATGGAAAGCCTTTTTCAGCCTGAAAAAACATTACCTGATAGAGAGTGGCTTTCTTAGCTGAAAACAAATGAGTACGGCTTAAAGGGTCGAGTCCAAGTCCGTTAGCCAAGCAGGCAACCTCAGTCATCAAAACCTCCCCAAAGAGGTTTGGTCAGTGGCCCCTTAAAGTGGCGGTGCCGCTCAAGAGAGCTGGTGCTGTCTCTGACACACGTATTAATTAGAAAGAACACAGAAGGGTAGTTCCTACGCCACATACACGCCCTGCTGCTACCTGCTGACAGTAAGAACAAAATCACGGCAGGCTGTGATGGCCAATCTGCTGTTTAATCTCCTGGAAATAATGAAGGGTTCACAGATTCACATCTTTGCTCTTCTGCCCATTAGCTACCTGACAACTGTTATGTTATTTAACATCCCTTATCCTCAGTTTCTTCATCTGTGTAAACAAAGAAACAATAATAACTTGCCATAGTAACCTGTCAAATTTTGAAAAATTTGCTAGGTGTTAAAAAGAGAGTTTTGTTTATGTTTCACGTGGATAATACATGCACGTGTTCTAAAAAAGTCTCCTTGCTTGTGTTCTCTTGTCACTCAGTTCCCCTCCGATGTCCAGTCGAATGTGAAAGTTTGGTTTCAATGTTTCATGCTGAAATGTTGAATCCATTAACATTTATTGAGTGCCTGTTACGTGTCGGAACCATTCAGGGTGCCGTGGGAACACAGAGATGCGTTCACAGTCTACAATGGGAAATGGTTCCCAACTAACTTTAATATGAGGTGATAAACACAACAGTAAAAGTTGAAGAACAGAGGGGAAAGCAATTAATTTAATCAATGGGGGTATTTGGAATAAAGAGTGAAATTAGGAACAGGTTTCGAGGCAAATGAAAAGTTTCAGACACCATCCCAAAATGGTACTAAGGCCTCGCTGGCTTAGGTACTCTGATCGAGGACCTGGGGCCAACACAGCTATCAAATTTCGAACTTTGGAAAAGTCAGCTTGATAAGAGAATGTCATGGGATTACCGTGGATGCACTGAGCAGCCTATTTAGGTGGAGAAAAACAGACGGTAGAAGAGTCTTTTCCCTTCTCAATCATACAAACGTTCCTTAAATGAAAAACTGTAAACTCATCTAAAGAAGGGAGCACTAACTGAGGAGTTCAATGAGTTTCAAGTGCAACTTTTGTTCTTTCCTACCATCTTCACACTGAGCATTTACAGAATAACTGCAGCCTCTCCGATATTCTTAGAACACAGAAATTAAGACCGGTTGAAGACTCCAGATACCACGTCCCCCAGGGCTGCCTAGAGCACATGTACCACTCAAGTGCAGAGGGACGTTACTGAAATGGTGGTGATTCTCAACAAAATGTTCTGGCTTAACAGAAGTTAGGTCACGTTCCTGTAGGCCAACATCCTGGGCCCATGACTAAGACAGGCTGGCTTAAGAGACAGCCCTGAATATTCATACAATGTTGAGTCTGAAAGCTAGCTTGGTGTGACCAAAAGACAAAAGTAAGGCCATTCCTTTCACTGGAAGTTTGCCAGGCTTAATGACAGATCCCAGAAAGCAGGAATTGGCTACAGTGAAGATAACCTTAAAGCACAAATTTCCATGCTAGTCTAATAAGACCAAAGCACAGTGGAGTTGAGGGTCATAATGCCTTTATTTTTCTTATCTGGTTATATAAAAGCTATCAAAAGTGAGAAAAATACTACTTAAAAATAATAATGCTTTTTAAAATTAACATAAAAGATCATTTGAAATGCTCTGCAAAATATTTCAACTCATCACCGTTTACCAAGGGCCTGAACAAAGGAATCGTGACCATGAACCTAAGGGCAACCCTGTTAAAGACTCTAGGTGAGGTCTACTTTTTCTGGGTTTAAGTGAGGGAACAGAGATATAAACATGCAGCAGTATTACATTTTCATCACTTTATGGTGGTATATCTAGCCTTATGTTTATGAGAAATCAACAATGCAACAAATACCGATCATCTGCTCTGCCTCTGTGGCAGGCACAGTACCAGGCATGCGGAAATACAAAGACAGCCCCTGTTCTCAAAAAGCTCTTTATCACAAGGTACTACTTTCTCCCTATTTATCAGAGCACCCTACACGGGGTTATCCAATAACAATGCCCTCCAGAGGTATCTTAAGCCAAAAACTGACACAGGAATCAGAATCCACATCTACTGTTAAATCCCTTTATGTCTGCATGTTTACTATTTTCAGGTGGCACATTAATCTCAATCTAAATGTACTTAAATGATCACTGGTAAAGAGAGTGACTGAAGACTTGCTACCAGTGTTGTCTCCTTCAATCCACTCTTTCCCCTGGACCAAGAATGCCATTAATATCTGCTTACACTATTTCTTTTCTCAGCATAACTTTAGCAGCTGGAAAAGACCAAACTCAAATGTGTTGTTTAAGCTGCACTTCAAATGCAAGTATCTGAATCAATGAAAAAATTCCATTTTGGTACTCAAAAAAATCCCAATCACAAGCTGCGTAACATTAACGTCCCCACTTTTGCCGGGTATCAGGATAGCATTGGAGGTGAGAGGTAGACTTCCAGCACCCCGAATCCTAAAGATCCAATGTTCTAATCCTGTAAGAATACCCTGCTCTGTGATTATTCTGTTAGCCTTCAAAATACTGTCAAGTATAGAAGGACAAAGCCTCTATTTTCCTTCTTTCCATTCATAACTTAGTCCCTAAGTTCTGAATATAAGCATTTTCTGTAACAACAAGCTACCTTTATAACAGTCCAGATAATTATAGGTCTGGGTCAAGAACTCTAGACCATATTGATTACATCTCTATGCAAAAAGGACCCTCCAGCGCTGTTTGTATCCACTATAACAGGGACAGCTTTTAAGTATCTGTCACACTAAGAATTTTCCATCCTATCAATGCCAGAAATGGAAAGGCAATGACCAGCCGGGCCTGTCAGTTGTTGCCTGAAGCCATAAGGACAAGCTGGGAGTTCATTGTACTGGAACTTCATCTGTCAGCTGCATTCACACATTTTCACCACCTGAATAGTTGATTCTCTTCAACTCTCACATGGCTCATTTCAGCCTACAGTGTTTTGAGGTGAATATTTGATCAGGCAAGGTAAAAAAAAAAAGGTTTGGACTTTTGTGAGGTGTCACCACGACGCACTTTTAAGTAATTTTAATCATCCGGAGCTAGGAGTCCTATGTCTCACTCTTAGCATACTTCTGAAATGGACCTGAGACCCTGATTAAATATGACAAAATGAGAGGAGCCATGAGAAAACCTAGCACAGTGGTGGGAACACAGACTTGTTTCCCGTATCTTTTACTTAAAAAACAAAACATAAATCCTGAAGATTTCTCCTAGATCACTGGAGACGGGGATCTCATACTGCCAAAGAAACTTAAAAATCACCATGACTTTGTCAAAGCTCTAAAACCTCACCCAAATATGAAGCCAACAAAGAAACATAGGCTTTTAAAATTACTATGATTTTTATATTTCAGCAGTTGGACTGTGCTATGCCTAGGTATGGTTTCCTTTGTGTTTATCCTACATGGGGACAGGGAGCTTCTTGAAACTTTTAGTGGACATCTTTAGTTCATGTTGGAAAATTCTTGGCCCTTCTTTCCTTCTGCCCTCCTCTTTCCTTCTTGTCACCCATGTGTGACAATGAAACATGTCGGACAGTTTCGTATTCACTCCCATACTTCTTACACTGCGTTCTGCTTCTGTATTGGTCATTTCTGACTGGTTCTGGAGTCTCTGGTCCTTTCTTCTTCTGCTTGTAATTACAGCTATTAAGCTCATTCAATGAATTATTTAAGATCTTATATTTTTTCAGATGAAGACAAGAATGTTCGATATCATCACTTCTAGTCAACATTTTGTACTACATGTCTAAGCAAGTATAAAGGGGGAAAAGAAACAAAAGGTATAAAGACCGAAAAGAAATAAACCATCTTTATTGGCAGATATTATGATGATAACATGATTGCATAGTGAAAATTCAAAGGAATCTACTAGAATTAATACATGAACTTAGAAAGGTTTCTGGATAGAAGTTCAACATACAAAAAATACTGCAGTCTGTAAGTTATAAAAAACCTGAAAGAGGAAATAAAATCTACTATAACATCAAAACATCAAATAATTGAAATAAATAATACGAAATATGTTTCAGACTTCTACACTGAAACATAACAATTAGGAGAAATTAAAGAAGCCTAAAAAAATAGATAGCTATAAGAGGTTCATATACTGAAGAATTTAATAATTATAAGATATTAATTCTCCCAATCTGATTACAAATTCAATGAAATTATCATCAAATCTCACTTAAATTTCTATAGAGATAAATTTATAGTTAATGTATATGTGGATGAGGATACACATGCACACACACATACACACATCAGTATATCAATGGTTTTCAAACATTTTTTTGAATCAGGACCCCTTTATACTCTTAAAAACTGAGAACTACAAAGAGTTTTGACTTATGTGCATTGTATCTATCAACCTCAAAACCATTTATTTTTAACTCGTTGGAAAACACCAAGAAACCCTTTCTGCATTAAAATAAGTAGCATTTTTACTTTTGGGGTAGAAAACGTTGAAACAGACAACAGGTAGGTTCTCATATCAGCTTATGCATTCAATCCGCTGTGATGTGTGTTTGGGTAACGTGAAGACAAGTTGGCCTCACCCAAAAAATCTAACTGGAAAAAGATGGAGCATATTCAGATTCTGAACCTTTTCAGATTTGGGGGATATCCTTCATTAATATGACACTTAACAAGTGAGTTGCAATGATCTCGGAAACCCTATGAATTAACTTCCTATTCTTTTTCCCATCTTACCCTTGGAATGAGTGCATTACCCATAGTTTTGTCATATAAAACTGGTCATTTTGAAAACATTACAGATCTTTCAAATGTCAATTTGTCTTATATGACATAAAAATATCACTCTTGTTAATATCACCACCTGTCTTATCAAAAATGTCTTTAAATACTAGCAACCTGTTAAGCAGACAGTGGTAAATACATGTGAATATGTGATTTTTAAATTTCTAATTTTCAAGTAAAGACTAGACTTTTATCATTGGTAATAAATGTCAGGTTTCAGGGTTTTTTTGAACCAGCTGGCTTACTTTGTTTATTTTTGAGAAACTGTGTGCCAAATACTTGAGTCTAAATAAACTGTTTGTTGGTTATTTTGGAGGTAAAATGGTTGCTAGGTCAACTCACAACCATCAGACAAGTGCATCTCCTTAGCACAACTAACATGTACTGTGGTACAGAGAATATTAAAAAGAAGTTTGCAAGCAGCAAAATTTAATAAAATTAATTATGTTTTAATTTTCAAAATTTTATAATAAATGTAATGATCGATGTTTTATCAAAGATATTCTTAATTATAGCTTTTTTTCCCAAATGTGAGTAACATCAACTGCAAGCATAGTTTTGTGACAGTGCTTTTACTATGCTAAGGTTCCATCAGGTTTATCCACCATTGCTTCTGTGCCATCTGTATTAACTGTCAACACAGTATTTTTAAAAGGCAAATCATGACTTCACATTTTTATAAAAATAATTTTTGCTCAAAGGTTGCTTCAAAGTGTCTTGGAGACTTCCAAGGTCCAGGGGCCACACCATGAACCACTGGCATGTATGTTCATCTACGTGTGTATGGGAACGTGAAGAATCTAGAACAGCCAATACATTAACCTGCTAGATTTTAAAACTTACTAGAAAGCTATAGTAACTAAAACAGTATGATAATGGTGTAAAGACATAATATAAATTAATGGAACAGAATCGAAGATCCAGAAAAAAATAGGGTTTTTTAAAAAGCATCTGAAATTCATTTGGGGGGAAGGCATGTCTTTTTTTTTTTAATTCTCACCCAAGAATATGTTTCTCAGTGATGTGAGACACATGCACACGCACATGCAGACAGAGAGAGAGAGGATAGGTGAGAGAGAAACATTGATTGGTTGCCTCTGTATGTGCCCTGATGAGGGATAAAATGCACAACCTAGGTATGTGCCCCGATTGGGAATTGAACCTGCAATTTTCTGGTGCATGGGACAATGCTCCAACCTACTGAGCCTCCCAACCAGGGCAAGGCATGTCTTTCTGATAGCGCTGGAGCAACTGGATATCTGTATGGAAAAAACTAACCTTCGATCCTTGCCTCATATCATAATAAAAAATAATTTGAAAATGATTGTAGAGATAAATGCAATGGCCAAAACTATACAATAACTAGAGACAAGCATTGCTTCAAGACTGAAAGGAAAAAATTTCTATAAAAAGCATAAAAGGAAAAACAATGGAAAAACTGGACTCTGCTTGTCAAAAACACCAATAAGAAAGTGAAAAGGCAATAAAATGAAAGGAAATATTTTCAAAATATGTAACAGACATGCATCCAGAATATTTAAAGAACACCTGAAATTCAAAACAGGCCACAGACCCAATAAAAATTTGTGAAAGAGTTCATAAATTCATTACAAAATAAGACATTCAAATGACCACTAAGAATACAGGGTAGGGCAAAACTAGGTTTACACTTGTTCATAATAATAATACAAATAATTAATAAATAATAATACAAGAATGAACTCTGTTTTGTATACTCACAACTGTAAACCTCCTTTTGCCCCACCTGTATTCAAGGAGCTCAATATCAGTATACACTGAAGAGAAGCAAATTAAAATCACAGTGTATATTCACTGGAATGACTCACACACTGCTTTTGTAAGATTTTATTTATATTTAGAGAAAGAGGAAGGGAGGGAGAGAACGAGGGAGAGAAATATTGATGTGTGAGAGAGAAACGTCAGTTGGTTGCCTCATGCTCCCAACCAGGACCTGTCCTGCAACCCAGGTATGTGCCCTGACTGGGAATTGAACCAGCGACCTTTCAGTTCACAAGACAACACCCAACTCAATGAGCCACACCAGTCAGGATTCACACATTGCTATTAACAGTGAAACTGGTATAATCATTTTGGAATACTTTCCTGGCAGCTCCTAACAAAACTAAACATATGCCTACTTTGTGAGACAACAATTCCAGTCCTACATTTATGATCAAAAAATATGAGTGCATATGTTAAAAAAAAAGACATACAGGAAAGTTTAAAGTAGCTTTATTCATAAGCCTAAAACTGCAAATAACAGGACAATGGGTACATAAACTGTGTTATATTCATACTGCACTGCAATATGTTTAAAAAAATGAACTAGTGACACATGTAACACCTGGATGAGTCTAGACACATTAAGTTGAATAAGAGAAGCCAAACACAAAAGAGTAGGTACAGAATGATTTCATGGACGTGGAGTTCAATAGAGACAACACTAATCTGTGATGATAAAAGAGTGGTAATCTCTGGTCGGAGGTGGTAATGGATGGAGGGAGCATAAGGGAACTTTCTGGAATGATAAAGACATTCTAATTTTGATCTGGATGGTGATTACATGGGTATAAAAATTCAAGCTGTATGATTAAGATATGTGCGTGCTTGTTAATGTGTAAATTATATCCTAACATTTAAAAGTTCTTCAAGGGTGATCCAAAGCACACACTTAATTGGGTTTTTTTAGCTGGGAGGGAGTTTGGGAATAATTTATTTCGATCCCTCATTTTATGGAAGAAAGCCTTGAGTTCTGAAGTGGTAGGCCAAACAGATGGTTACAGGCAGAGCTAAGACTAGAACCAACGATTCCAAAGTTACTAGTCACGATTCTTTCCACTACACTTAGCTTCCAAAACAAGTCTTTTCCCAGGAACAATTATTTTCACTTTGATTATTTGCTTTAGCTTCTCTCTGACAGCTTCCAACAATATCCAGGGGACTCCCGTGAGCTCTGGTTCCGACGAGCTGCCCGGGCAAGGTCCCGGCTGCTCTTTAATTGCTCGCTCGGCTTCCACGTTCAGTGGAGAGAGGCTCTTTGTTTGTTTCCAAGTTTATAGATGACACCTATGAGCCTCGGCCTCTCGGGCTCTTGGACACAATTTAAAATAGTGTGGCACTAACAGTTTGACACTAATGTCACTAAGACAAATGGAATTCCCGGTTCAGACTTAAACAAATTCTAATACTGCCCCCAATATTGTCCCTCTGCCACCACAGTCTCAGGCAACAGACTACATAAATAGTCCAGCCTTGTATTAAAGATATAGTCATAAAGGTACAAAAAAGAAAAGTCGGGCCTTTTAGCCAAAAAGCCCCATGTAAATACGTGCTGCTGTGGTCTATCAACAGTAGGGAGAATTCCATCAACTCCTTCTGAAAATGCTTAGAAAGACATAAAGTCGCAACAAGGACCTGGCGCTTGCAATAGAGAAAGCAAAGGCAAGGTTTCAGTTGACACAAAGATTTATTCAAAGAAGCCATGTGCCATCAGGAAAAACTTTCCCAACAGCTTCTTCTACTTCTGTTTACAGTTTCTTCATCTTCAAGTGGGACAATCATTTGTTTCTTAATTGTGCTGAGCTAAATTTTTCCACACTGTTAAGCTGAATTTCATCTTCTAACATCCTATAAATATTAGAAAGAAGAACGAGAGGAAGATTTAAATCAGAAGGAGAGAGCGGTGGCTAAGCACTTTCCTGTTGGGTGAATCAGGTCTTTTCCTATGTTCTTAAACTTATGTTTCATTTAATAAAGACACTACGTTTTCATTAGATTAGAGATGAAATAATGCACAAACTTTCTCATTTCTAATAAAAAAAGCCAATCTTAATACCCGAGTTTGAACGTTTACTAAATATTTCAAGTATAAATAGTGTCAAAATAAAAGCACTGACCTCCTTTTCCCTTGTCTCAGGGACTGTTCACAGGTCAAGACTAAGCCTTCTTTCAATTTCACCCTCGCCCATAATCCTCTTACTGATCTCACAGAGGCTCTGAATACCCGAGGTACAAGAATGCTTGCAGTTTTCGACACCTTATAATCACAAAGGCTATTTGAAACTCTATTAAATGAAAACCACATCACTTATTCAAAGAAACACTTCAGTATTTCTAAAGAACACATGTCCTTTATATCTGGAAATTATTTTAGGCAATAATTTGTCCACATCCCTGCCAAAAAAAAAAAGGTGAAATTTTTTTTTTTTTGGCATAGGTTTCAGCGAAAGTTCAAGACCATGATTATAAAATGTCATGGCTTCTGTCATCCAGCTTCAGTTTTAAAATCATGGAGCTCAGTGGCCTCACCATGGTGTACTAAATGAACGATGTTTCTTAAAACATCTTTGCTTCTTACCAACAGCATCTCTTGTGTCTCTGGTGGCTTTAAGATACAAAGTTTGCCCACCTCAGATTGGAATGGCAACTGTAGACACAGTGAGATAGAATCCTGAGGAATATTCCGCCCCCAGTGCATCAGACAAATAGCTGTAAGGTAAATGCTGTCTCGGTAAGAATGTCCTCCAGCAGATATTTGCTTAAATAATCTATTTGTTGCCTGCCCTATCACACTTCTCTAATATGTGTTATTTGTTTTTTAAAGGTCCAATGCACTGAATGCCAAATACATAAAGCAGGGACAAATAACTACTATAATTTTTTTCATGTATCATTTTCTTCAGTAAACAAGTTACTGTGATACTGGGAAAAACTGGGTGCTGAAAAACTGTCTCCCGAATTAATGTCATAGACATTATTTAGATTACTTCAGTTGTAGAACAAAAATAATATTTCTCTTGAGTCAAGAACAACACCACCACCACGTCTACAACTCTGTCCCCATTTGTCAAAAAGCTTGATGTGCCACCACCACCCTTACGTAGCAAAGCCTGCGGTGGAGGGTAAGAACCCGTTTTACTTATCTGTCACGACTTTCCTTCTCCTATTATCACCTTCCTCAGGAATGCATGTAAATGCTGTCCCTACCATTTCTAGTAACATTTTCTCTATAAAATGGTTTTCTTTAGTAGAGATTGACAAAGATGTCTGCTCATCGCACAAACCAGGAATAAATTTGTTTTTAAATCTCAGTTGCTTTGAGTTCTTTATTAGTAAACACCCATTTCCATCGTAAAACTACAAACCAGCACAAACAAACCTCAGATAAACCAGACCCGAGCTGCTCTGTGCCGGTGACTCAAAAGCAACCAGCTTTAAGTTGTCCAGTGGGTACAGCCGACATGGTTCGGAACAAGAGCACCAGTCACCAAAGGGGGCAACCAGGCTTCAACAGGACTCCGACAGCTCTCTTTTGACTTTCTCGTCAGGGGCCCTATACCTTTTTCAAAGGAAACGACAGACAAAGGGGAGAAACTCCTAGGCACCCAACCAAAGCAGCACGCAGGGAAACCGAGGGTAAGCAACCTGCACGTGCTTTGTCTAGAACGCTGCCTGTAACTCAGAGACACCGATGCTAACTTTAATTAGCTGGACACAGGAAAAAGGAGCAGTTCCTTCAAATCCCATTTGTTCTGGGTGACTTGAATGTAATGGTAAAATCCTATAAAGTCCATTTCCAGGATGGTCTTCTCCTTAGTCAAGAAGGGAACATCTCACAATGATCTCAATTCAAAATTGCAGGTAGGGATAGTGTCTTCTGAATCACCAAGATGAGATGAACCATGTCATGTGAATAACACCTACTTATAAAGCAGTTATAAATCTGCTACATCTAAAAACATTACAAATAAAAGCATTATTTATATTGAGAAATAAGAAGCTGCTTCAGAGGTATCTAAAGGCACAGAATTTAAGCCAGCTAAGTTGATGACTTAAAAGACATATATTTTAGGAAATGTATTCTATGGGAAGGAGTGAGGCACAGATATGTTACATAATCAAGAAACTGTGGGAAAAGAATTTCTTCACCCATGTGGCACAACTCTGCTAAACTCTTCTTGTTTCAACAGAACAACATGCCCAGGTTAATGCACAGATATCTAAACGATAACACGCAGAGTCAAGTCTTAAAAAAATACTTTCACTTTGAAAATTGTTACAATCAAAAGGTTTAATCAAAAGTTTTAAATTCTATGTCTCTGAAAAGTGAGAGTATGAAAATTCTGTCGCCACTAGTTTAGACAGAAGGAGCAAGAGTTGTCACTAAAACAGAGGCATAGCTATGAAATGTGCCACAGGAACAGCTGAAAAGATAACCCACTTCGCGGTGCAAATGGTGTCAAGGTAATAATACAACGCAACGCAGCCCCTTCACAGGAGGTGCCCCCCTGGTCACATCTCTAAGCAGAGGCAACCAAAACTCCAAATAAGCATGTTCATAACATGCAGCTGATTCCAATGCTGGGGTCAGAGTCAGGGGAGCACTTCCTGATTCAGGAGCAATTAAAAAAATATATTAAGACTTTTTAAAGTAGAAGAATCTCAAAGAGAATTTTCCCATCAACTTCTCCTAAAGAATTCAAACCATTTAGCCTCTAGTCATCATGTTAAACATCAATAGAAAAGTAAGTTTGTTACATCAGTAGTCCTATCAAATAAAGTAGATAAAGTTTCCCCAACAAAACATTATTCACTCACTTGAAAAGCATGCGGAACAAAAGGGGTCCAAACCATTTGAGAGGTAGAGAGTTAGGCATTAAAGTCCAATTCCTCACCTAGGGGGTTTCTTTAGCTCAAAGTTAGAGAAAGCAGCACACCCTTTCATTGCTCTGGCTGTCTTCCAGAAAGGAGCTAGGGCTTTCTAGAAGGAAAAGAGTACTAGGACAGTAACAATAGAGCTTAGTCACCAATAATTCCTTTCTCTCCTCAAAAAATGGGTGCTTCCGGGCAGAAGCTCAGAGCTGTAGAACAATACCGGAGAAACTCCCACAGTGTGTCTCCAATGGAAATAAAGTCAGCCAAGGGCAAAGATCTAATTTGTCATTCTAACATCAACTTTAAAACTCTTCTTGCAGCAGAGTCAAATAAAACTGTTTCTAATAGTTCACTGAAGTTCCTTTCTATGGCATGAGATAACTTTACAAAGAGCTAAAACAATGATAGTACTACATGATAAATATGGAGTATTTCATTACCTCAGCCTACAGTACTGAATATGGCAACTTTTAGTAACAGACGTACATGGTAGCCGCTTCAGTTACATGCATTACACTTGACTGGTAGCTAGTCAGATGACTCTAAAACATTAATAATGGGGCAGTTTAACAATGTTAAAAAACGCAACAAAGCTTACGACTGTAATCTTGAATAAAATACTAAAATATATCATTTCCAGGATTCACAATCGTAAATGATAATTCCAGATGAGCAGCATCTGTTAGCATTCTCAGACTGACACTACCAAGATTTATTAAGTCACCTATCTCAATATCTCATTCAATGCCAGGAAGCAAGGAAAGAGAGAGACACACACATTTTAGTGCTTGTTTCCAAGGGATGGCTGTGGTTGCCAAGTTTAAATCGGAGGACAAGAATGAGCCCTCTAAAGTAAGAGTCTACATTAAAAGTGAGGGCACCACCCTGGATGAGGATAGCTCAATCAGACACGAGGTGCAATCCTCAGACCTAAATAAATAAATAAAATTATTTTAAAAGCCAGAAAGGGAAGAAAACACACAATAGCCATTAGCTTTCAAACTTCAAAACCCATCCGAAGACAGAATCAGAAACAGAAGCTTTGGTCTTTGAAAAGTGACCTTCACAAATCAGTTTTGTGTTTGTTTCCATTTTCTTTCACAGTTTAAGCCTCAATCAAATCAGCAGTCTCTGGGGACTTAAAAATAGCTGTAGATTAAAATCCTCTCTGACTCAACTGTTCTCCTAATGCCAAGTATCTAATAGTTCTACTTGTAAGAGACTTTTGTTGATGAAACCCTGCTGCATGCTATCTTCAGATGCTCCACAGCTGTGCCATAATAGAAAGCATCACTGTCCTTATTTTCTTTATCACTCCGTTTAGAGATGAGAAAATTATTATGAACAGTTCTGTATTTGGCAGAGCTGGCAGAAAGCAGTTTACAACACTAATGTAGCAAGTATCACCTAACAAAGGCAGAGATCTACTTCCAGGTACTAATGATACATATTCATGGCTTGGTTCCAAGGATAGGAAGTTAATAACTGTGATAGATAGACTAGAGTTAAGTTAATGAATTTCTAAACTTTATGCTTTCAATAATAAAACCATTTAAGCCTTAGCGTTTGGACTCTCTACTTCCACAGATCAGGCACTTTGATACTCAACAGGTTGAGTAAATTGAATCCATATATTGTATTTACGTTCTCTGTCAAGGTTGCTTCTCCACGTTTGAGAGATCAAAGGCAAAGCAGTCATCAACCCTGTAGCCTTCAATACTGTGTTCATTACATTTAATCAAGTGCCAACTCCACCGCATCATTCACCAACCTTAACAATATTTAAATGCATGGCACTGTTTAGGAACAAATGCAGGCATAGTATTGTTTTAAAACATACACACACACCCTAAAACAAAACTAAACAAAAAAGGGAGAAAGGCAAAAAATTATCATTCCTTACACTGTGCAAGGAGAGAAATTAAAAGTGCACAGAACTACCCAATGAACATGTTGGAGGTGGTTTTCTACCTGAGGCAGCATCAATCACGGTGGAAATTCCCCTTCGATCAGAGACCGGACGGGATGACCCTGGCATGCTGACTGGGTCAGAGCGGACCGGCTGGATCCTGCAATGCAATTTAATTTAATTCACATATGTTACTGGCATCAAAACTGTCGCTTGCTGCAACAGACCTTAAATCAGAAATGCTGGAATAGCCCAATCCATTAAAGAACTATTCATTCTAAAATAATGCAGACAAGAGAGCTGCAGTGCCTAGCTCTCACACAAGGCTAAAGCACAGTGAAACCTATTCTACACGCTGGACCCCTGCTTCTCCTCATGTGTATGTTACTCAATAGATTTTAGGTAAGGGATTGAAAAATTGGTGTTAATTTAAAGAAATAAATTAATTGGAGGGAAGGAGTACAAAGGGACTAAATGGTGCTGGAAAATAATATAATAAAGGAATTCGTTATATAAAAAAAAGAAAAATAAATTAAAAATGGGAGAGGAAACAAAATACTTCATACCGAGACCTTCGGCTTTTGCAAGGGGCCAATATGAAGAGTTTTGAGAATCCTCTAATTCATGAATAGTGCAATAGCTGGCAATGCCTCCTATAAAAGGCAGCAATATTAGACACAAATATTTTAGTAACTCTCTTAAAATCCTCAATAAAAATATGCACAGCATAACAAAATTGTGTTGGGTTGTGACTGCCAAAGGTTTAGCTAGGATCACTATATCTGAATCACCACCATAAAGTTACCAATTAGCATGTAAGAATCAATTAGAATCTCAACAAAACTACAATTTATTACATACAATTTCAAGTTGCTTCTGCATGGTAAATCTATAAATACCAAGGGTCTCTTTCTGCCTGTAGTATTATGAACATAAAAATGTCTATATGACTGAAAGATCTGAACATCCCAAGCAACTTAGAAGAATAAAATCTTGTTACAACAATGCATGCATTTTGGCAATTTGTTTATTCAGTAAATACTCGCTGAATATTAATCATGTATCACTGTTACTCTAGGGACAAGCAGAAACAGAACATGAAATACAAGGTCTATGTGTGGACACAGAACAGCACAGGGACACTCGTAAGTGCTGCAGAAGAAAACATAATGTGTGAAAATGAAGTAGGTAATAAAAGCTCAGCATGACAAAGGGGAGGAAAGAATGAATGGTCTACAGCAGATTGTGAAGACACTGTGGAGCTGTAATAGGACCTGAATCTGTACAAAGTAAGAGGATATGTATACATGCAGAAAAATAGAAGTATCCTTTAAGCACGAACTAGAACATCAAACCCTTGGATCTGTGACTGAGCATGACAAATGTGGGACACAGTGAGGAGCAGGATTTGGCTGAAGTATAGAGTTCATGGTGGATATTGATGGAAGAGAAGAGGCTGATAAGCACCATGAGACATTATATTGTAGAAGCCTGAAATGCCAAGTATGGACGACAGAAAAAGAGTAGTTACTGAAAACACAGTTTAAAGGTATGAGTATTTGTTATGTGAAAGAAAGGAAGAAATGGGAGGGAGGTGAAGGACAATCTATTTGATCTAGCACTAGAAGTTAGAAATATTGACGTACCAATACTGATCATTGCTATAGTGAGCAACAGGATGTATTCATTCACCTCAGCTTATTTTTCTAAACTAGTCATGGTAATCCTATCTTCTCATGGCAGAGAATTAGATCTGGAATGGGCAGGCCTAAGCAAATTGGGGCCAGTGAGAAAAGAAGAAGAGTTTATTTGAAATTTCTGCAAAAGATGTTTTCTGGTTCTGAAGAGAAACAAGAAGCTAGCCTGTTAGATATGGTCAATGGAGGCAAAGAAAAGCACTCCCCTGGTCTAAATAACTTCCGGGGCTAATACACATACTATTATTAATTCAATTTATAGTGCAGTTCCTACGCAATCTGGAGTTGGGAGTGAGGTGCGGGCGGTGCTGTAGAAGAAAGCAGGCCGGCCGAGAGCGGATGTGTTGCTGGGTGACACACACGCAGGTTGTGTCCTGTTACTCTCTTTGACTTTACCTGTGTCCGTATGTTTGAAACTTTTCATAAAAATAGACAAAGTAAATACAAACTGGCAGGGGTGATGGAAGTGTCCTGAAATTAAACACTGGGGATGTTGATTGCACTAAAAACCACTGAATTGTACAGTGAATCTTCACGGGTTTTTTTGTTTTTTTGTTTTTTTTTAAATTTATTTAGTCTATTTGTTTATTTTTAATTGAATTTATTGAGGAAAAATTAATTAATAAAATTACATAGGTTTCAAGTGTACAACTCCACAATACATCATTTGTATACTGTATTGTGTGTTCACCACCTCAAGCGAATTTTATTAACCACACAATTCTTAGTCATATCTCTTAGAGCACAGGACAGGGTCCTGGGTCAGCTGAGCCCCCCCAAAAAATATCCAAACAAAGCTTCACAATTTAAAGGAGAAGGTAAGGCCAACAGCCACAGCGCCACTGCCTAAAAAATGGAGAAGAAACAGGTGAGGAGTTGGGACAGAGGACAGTAAGGGGAATGGAGAGAATATAAAGAGTTGGATTTCTAATTGGATGCTGGGCTGGACATGGTCCGAAACAGGGCACTTAAAATTAAAATGATGTGGGACTAATCCGAATTTCTCATCGAAACTGTGCTCTAATGGGGGATGAGGTCTTAATCAAGGGTTTATATGCTCAAATTTTTAAATATAACCTACAAGGGCAATCAAAAGAGATTTATAAGCCTGCAACCCAACATGAAGATTTCTAAAGTTTATGTGTGTCCAATAAATAAGATAATATCTTAATCAAACATAAACTATTTAATGTCATTTAGATAACAAATAGTGGGAGCTCTTTAGTGTAAAAAAAAGGAAGGTCCCTCAGGAAAATTCTGGAAGGGTTTCAGGAAAGGGGCACTGTCTGAAGAAGTTAGAGAGCTCTTAGACAAAGGACTATGTCTGAAGTAAAGGGTCACAAAGAAAGTGGGAGGAGGTCACAAAACGAGGGAACAGAGAGCTGTGTGCTCCAAAGAAAACAAACAGGGTCTTGTCATAGCAGCACATAACAGTCATCAGAAAAAAAAAGAATAGAGTTGTGTGAGAAGAGCAGTAAAGGGAATAAACATAGTCTTATGTACGGGTCATCTATTGTAAATGCCTTCGTATTAACATCTAGGTAACTGAATGACATAAACATGAATGATTACACATTACATCACTAAGTTGAGGACTAACTCAACTTGACCTGCTGAAAATGGATTATCTAAGCTAGAACATATTTCACAATTGGCACCAGTGAAAATTGCTCTAGTATACACTATACAGTCATCTATTGCCTGACATCTTAGGGAAATTTTTACAAAATGAATGAAAATATGCTAGAAAAATAAAAGGATAAGGAATGGAAGAAAGAAATAAAATACAAAGCAAACTAAAAAACATTAAAACCCTAAAAAAGGGATTAAAGAAGACATTCTATTATACAAATTATTCTTTAAAAAGAAAACATCCACTTCTAACAACAGCTTTTGCTTTGTTATAAAGATCTGTTGGCAAATCAATGTTGGCAAAGAGACAGCTAAAAACACATTTCCAACATCTGAATGGAATACATGTCTCCATAATTTAAAAAAATGATGCAAGGAAAACTTTGGAGGGCTTTTTTTAAGTTCAATGAAAGATACAGTATAGAACTTTTTAAAAAGAGAAGACATGGAAAGGCAGATTATTTTTCTTTAGACTGAGCCCTTCATTGTCTGTCGTCCCCATATGTGTCATCTTCGTGTAACAAATCAAACTGCTAAGCAACCCTGAATTGCAAAAGTCAAAGAATTTTCAGCTGCATTAAAAAAAAAAAAAACATCTAATAAAAAAGCATACTTTGTAAACCCTGTATTATCATTCTTATAAGTGGGGATCACAGAATATATAAAGATAAAATACTCTAGGTGAATTTGTATCAACATTTTCTTATCCAAAAACTTTTCAAAGCCTGAAAGAAGATACCTGCAGGATTAGGATGTGTAGTTCAGCTGAAAGATAAAGAGAAGGATCAGGCAGGAGGGTATCACCAGACTTGAGGCAATTAGAAATATGAATGAGGCAACACAAAGTGGCCTTAAAAGGTGTAACAAACATAACATTTTGTCGAATGTAATCCAAAACACAAACATTTACTGGATACAATGAGATCCCACACAAGATCCCCACTGACTATAAGGAATCACGAAGCACGGTGTGTGTGTTCTGCAACATGACACTGTGCCCAAAGGGGAAATGTAAATACTGCAGCTGATGCTCTTTACAAATGAACATATTATTCCAGTGAAACGACTCCCCTAATTCTTATTTCTTACCTGAGACTATTGAGATCAAGATCATCTGTATCAAAATCCAGAAGGGGCTGTGGAGTATCACTTGGACCATGAGACTGCAGCACAGATGAACTGGAAGAGATGACGGTGGTTTGGCCTGAGGGATGGATGGTTTTGAACTGGAACTGTGGACCCATCCACAGCCGCCTGTGGGGTCCAGTGTGCGTTACAATCTCTACCTGAAACAGATCAGGAATCACGATTTAAATGTGCTATGACCTTTCAGAGCTTTTACAATACCCCCACCCTGTCTCTGAACACATTCTTCAAGAAGCCTATTTTAACCAAGTGAGAGAGGGCTCCCACAATCAAAGGCGATAATAATCACACCTACCCAGATATTCACTATACCCCTCCTGCAAGTTTCCACAAAAATAAACAAAAAATTTTTGTGCATGAATTTTCATGTGTGTATACACACAAATGCATAGTATATAGGTATGCCTGCTGCCTGTCTCATAAAGCCAGCATCAGCTCCCTACAGACTGTCTTTTGCATTCATTCTAGACATACTTACCACTCTGTGGGCATGCACTATACTACACCTATAAGCCACAAATTAAAAATAATTCCCTCATTGAGGATCAAGCCCATGACAAACTTAAAGTTGATCTTGAATTATCCAAGGGGGACTAAATAGATCTAAAATAATTTTCAACACCCAAAGCCCCATTTATTTCCACAATTAAATATTATAATATTTTACTATACTGCCCTCAAAATACCCCACAATCCAATTTTAAATTAAGAGAGTATGACATGTTTTCTATCTGACTGGATTTGTCTCCGAAATACCATTACTCATTCAGAGTGTGTTTTCAAAATTACTCATTCAGAGTGTGTTTTCAACTATCACGAAGAGTGACACGGGTATTTTAAGGGACGCAAAATAGTAAAACTAAAATGCTTTATGAATTTCATGCTCAGAATAGGAGACACTGGGTAAAACTTGAAAACAAGTATATTATATAATTTTACAAATGAGCAACATGCATAAGAGACTAAATACTGCAAACCTTCAGTGAAAGACTGCTTCTCAGTGTCTTATAATTGCTATATCCATGTCTGTGCACATACTTTACAGAACTGACTTCCTGTCTGCCTCCTTTTTGCCCTGAGTTCCTTTGTATTTAATCGCATTTCTTTGATTGCAGTGATTAATTCTGAACAAAACATAACCGAAAAGGTCCACAGAGTGCAGCTCTGTGTTTGTAAGTGCTAAAGGGCAAAATGAGCCTTTGAACAACATTCACATTCCCACTAGTCACAGGGAAACGACTACTCAGATTTAGGACAGCGAATTCTGATTCAAGTGGTTGTATTCAGTAATGTGAATTAGGCCACAGATAAAGCATTGTGTGTATTTTAAGCTCAAGACCGTCAGTGTCGCAGAGCCGAGAGGTGAACAGATGCCGGTGCAGTCGCATGGAGGCGACGGCCAGATGTTCCTGCTCACTCCCCTGCCGTGTGCAGCACAAACACATGGAGTGCATGCTCACACTGACAGCACACGTCACCCCTGCTGCTAACGGAAAAGTTGAAGTGAAGGACAGTGGTTTCTTTGCCAGCCTTCTTCTGCTTTTAAAAATTTATTGTGTTATGTTCGAGAAAGGATGTCTCTCCATAGGCCAGGAGCTGAAGCACCGACCCTTCTTGAAAGAGCTTCCTGTGTTTTAGGTGTGATGAAATGTGTCACCTAGAAACCACTTCATTCCCCAGTGCCCACACGTCCTTTTGTTCTTCGGGCTACCCCCTGCGACAAGGCAGTAACACTGCGCTGCCTCTGCCACGCACCTGTCTCAGGAAAAGCCCCTGGACTGGTAATCCGAGACAGGTCATTAACTTCACCAAGTGATGTCAGCTTTCAGGCAGACATAACAGCATTTGTAATGAAGTCATCTGTAATCTCATCATTTTGAAATCTGCCCAAGTACCTTTTATTTCAAAGCCCTTGAGACGAAGAGAGCTTCACCTGGCAAGGGGAGAAAGGGTCTGCGGGAGCCGCCCCAGGACTGCGTTCGAGGCCGCTGGAGGCAGCATGCGTGGGGCGAGGGTAGGACGCCCGGTCAGCACAGTCAGGGCGTGTGCAGACTAGAACGCTGAACCTTCCTAATCAAAGTACGGGTCCAATGTTCAGAAAATGGTGGCTCCGCAAAACAAATCCCAAAGATTGTTGAATGGTTGCACTGTTTTAACAAAGTTAATTCTCATTTTAATCCAAAGTGTCCACCTAAAGTCCAAGGTCCTGAGGAACGTAAGTGAACTGTGTGGAAGACATGCTATTTTATGCTGTCTGCACGGAAGCTGATGCACACATACACGTGTGTATAAATAATACAGGCACATGAGTCCCTGCCACAGTGTTTATGATAAATTCTTAATGTGGAAAGACAGTTGACTAGTTATTAGCAATCCTAACAAGAGTTCCCAGTTCCGTTCATTTTCCTCTGAGGAAAATAATTTTTAAAATTCAAGAATAGAAACAGACAACAGATTCCTGTTTTCTTTCACTGTAACAGGCCATTCTTTTCTACCTGAGAAAGCCATTCTTCATCTTCCTGTCCGCTGTGGTCAGAAGCCAAACTGTCATATGACCCGTGCCGAGTAATGGGCCCAGGGCTTCCAGGGGGAACCACTAGAGGAAGAAGAAAACATATTTAAACAACTTTAATTCATGCGGTGGCTAAATGAATGTGGGCACAACCACCCTGGGCACTGTGGTACTTTATAAGATAAAGTGTGACAATAAATGCATAAAGGTAATTCAAATAACTAATGAACAAAAAAGACTGAATTTCTTAGGAATAAGAAAGACCTTCAATTGAGTACACTTTTAAAAAATGTGCAGGAATTTGGTCATAACATATATCGCTGTGGAAAAAATAACCAACTACCTGTATCTTAACAGCACAAGTACATTTAGAAGCAGGAACAATTCGCCTACATGTGCATGAGTCTATTTCCTAACCTTCAGGATTTGGGCTATTTAAATCACCTCCAGTAAACAAACAAAATAATAGTATGATGCAGTTCCTATAATTAATTCATGAAGAAATGTTTAAAACAAATGTCAAGTAATAAGATTTTTAAAGGATCTTTCATGTAAATGGAAGGCATAAAAATACTTTTATTTTAAAAACACCTTTAATTTCTGAAACATTTCATTTATCCAGAATAACTTCATTATCTTGAGGCAGGCTGAGCCGAACTCAAACAGATGGGAATTCTCTTTAGTCATTTTTTAAGCCTCTCCTAGGTAAGTAGGACGTTTTTCTTCAGGCACTTCTCAAAGAGCTTGGCCCTGCACCGATGCTGGTTGACACTAGAAATCTACAGGAGTCATATTCTTCGTTAGTCTGTACTCCCTTGAAGCAACGAGCTCCCTTCCTTCTCCTTTCCCCCCACCTTGCTTTCGGTAAACTTCTTTTGAATGCTTCTCTTCCTCTCTTAACTTCTTCAGTTGGGGCAAGAACCCCTTCACCAGTGACAGTAGGACATAGGCTTTAAATACAAAGAGCCTACTTTCTCATATGAAGAGAAAACTTTGCTCAGTCAAGCTCATAAATCAACAACAATTTATTGAGTTTCTACCATGAACCAAATGTTATCCCAGTAAAACATAGTTTCTTCTTTTTAAACTACTATACTATTTATTAACTTTATGATAAAACAGACTATTTAGACCACTTTTATAGTTGAAGAGACAGAAAATTCCCATATACTCTCTACTTCCACATACCATTTTAATACTAAGCGAATAAAGCAATTAAATACTGATGGGAAATAGGGAAAATAAAAAGACAGAGAAAAGTAGATGAGTATTAAAGAAATATGGAAGAAACAGAAAAGAATAAGCAACAGAAAGTAATCTCATAATTTTGACCACCCAGACATACGTGTATTTACTGCTACACATGCATTTTCCTTTGGCTACATTCCTAAAAATGAAATAAAGCACATGAACATAGTTTAACTTCCTGCACATTCCCAGCGTTCCACATTTCCGCCGGCAGTGATGGAGAATGCTAATCTCACTGCACTTTTGCTAGGACAAGGTACAGTATATCTTGAAGAAATCTTTGTGAAACAGGTAGAAATGGGGTAGATGAAGTAGAGCCCAGGGCAAGATTTTAAAGGACACATATTCACAAACAACTGACCCTAACTTGCTGGGAGATGAGAAAGGGTACCTGAGAAAGTCGATTTGCATGAGGCAGTGTGGACAGTATTGAAGGGTAAGATCTGCAGCAATGCAAACTAGTTGTACCGGTTCCTCACAAATACAGCTCCACAGTGACAGGCACGTGGCACAAAACATAGTGATCACCTAAGCATAATGCCTAGTGTCTCATGATTTTTGAATATCACACAGAAAAGAATGCCATAATAATTATCTTATATCTAAGCAACCTCTTGGAAATTAATTTTGGTATGTTGCAAAACTGGTATCTAGAGGTCAGGACAAATATCTGGAGGTCAGGAAATACTTTGGTAAGCGGCTGGGGGTAGAGAAGATTTCTAAAGGAGTGAGGGAGTAGGTTGCATGGATATTTGAGGGGAGAGTGTTACAAGGACAACCCCAAGTACAAAGATTTTGGAGTGGGAACAAAAAAGAAACGTTTCAGTAATATCAGGAGGCCAGTGTGGTTGTATACGGAGGCAGTTTTAAAGTGGGAGGTTAGTCAGTAAGACAAAGGGGCCTGGGAAGGAAGAGGAAAGGTTTGTTGAGGGCTTAAAAAAAAAAAACAAAAACCTGAGGGTAATGTGATGGAAAGATATTGGGAAGTTCCAAAAGAAATGAGAAAGGATAACCGTGTATAATGAACGAGTACCTAATGTGAATCTTTTCCAACAGTTTACACTACATTCTATATATGCTGCACCTAGGCTACTACCTGTCAAAAAATATTTATTTTGCACTCTAAAAGTATTAAGTAAATGGATGAAATTTTGGATTCTGGACTGATTAATGACATCAGAATGGTTAGATATTTATTTATCCATTATCAAAATGGAATAAACTTAAAAATAATCCAGTGGCAGGGTGGAGGGAAGAGTGGGTACCCGGACAAAACAAGGTTGGTCGTGAGTCGTCGAAGCTGGATGTGAAGGGTCTGCAGGGGCCTCCCACTGCTGTTTTCTAATGGGGTGTCTGTCTGGAACCTCTCCCAGTGAGGAGTTAAATGAGAAGAGGAAGAACAACCTTCTTCCTCCTCTTCCTAGCCTTCCTTTGCTTTCCAAAAAACATGGTAAAAATACAAAGTATATATCTATAAAACATTAAATCTCAATCTTGAATTCTAAGTAGAAATTGTAAGTATAAGTTTCCACACCTTACATTCACTTAAAAATAGTTTCCCAGTTAATGTTTTGAAGCACTCAGAAGTGTCATGATATAAAAACACAGGTCTGATTATTTTGGTTCCATTTTTTAAAAAAAATACCCTTCAAATTTCTCAGGAATTCTTTTAAGCAATGTGCATATTGCAATAATCATGGATTTTACAATAATATTACTCTACAAATGGGAAAATAAATTCTTTAAAATTTAAAATAAAATACAAGTCTGGTGAAATAATATTTTTTCAATATGAAAAAAATCTTTCCTTTTCTCTCACATTTCTTCACCTTTAGAAGCTTCCCCAATCCAGGTAGAAAAAATATGTCATCTAACAATGATACACAAGGTCACGATGAAAATAAATTCGAAATCTTGACTCTGGGATAAGAAAAAGAGATGGAACGCATAACAAGAGCAAAACTTCCATGCTCTCTGTCTAATTATTAGGAAAGATTCAGAAACCGGACCAAGAGTACCATAAACAGAAGGGGGGGGCAGGGGAGAGTTCCCAAGGAAGGGCGGAATTGACAGAATCCTGGAAGGAACTCTAGGGCTGAAGAGCTATGAAAAATCATACCGTAGAGTTCAAGGAAGCAGGGAGAGATCCCACATGGTGCAAGAGTTAAAGACGTGTGCACACAGAATATCTGTACAGCCAAGTCCATAGCAACCTCTCAGAGCTTCCCATGAATCAGTTGAGAATATTATTGTGTCCAAGACTAATATGAACAAGGTCCAAAGAACCGACGGGCTTTGAGGTAGAAACAAGGATGAGATCTATATGAAGCAATAACCAATGATCAGGTAGGAAATTGGGACATCTTAGTGGTTGCAAGGATAAAATATCTACAACTTTCCCATCTCATTATCTTTGCAATCTGTAAGCCCTATCAAATTTAGATGTAATTTTGGGGAGATCATTATTAATTGATTGATTAATTTTTCCACATTTGTTAGAATGGAGGTACAAAAGAGAACTTATGAGAGTTTATTAAAAACTGATGGGGAAGAAATGGGGACAACTGTAACTGAATGATAAAAAACAATTAAAAATAAAGCACGCCAAAAAAACAAAAATGAGTTAAATATCTTGCAAGCCTGAGCTTAATGAACAAACAAATGTGCCTACCTACTACCTAAAGAAAAATGTTTAGTATGTTTTACGTACCAGCTGTTCTTAGATAATTAATAAACCCGGGGCAGGAAATGTATGTAATTGTGAAACAAAAACATCTGCCATGTTCCATCCCTACTTTATCCCTACTAGTAAAATAATTTAAAACAAGCCTAGCATGTAGCTAAAACGGATACCCTATCAATCGACTTTAGAGAATACGACTTCAGAAGTACTGCTTCTGCACAGGCATTTGATAAGTATAGGTGAACAAGCAGGCCTGGACCAGCAGACCATGATGATGAGGTCACTGGGAGCCAGACTTTGTTTATATTGTGTTCTCAGGAAGGCAGACCAGGCTTCCAGTGAGTAAATAAAAGCTAAAAAAACCACTACGTGCATTTTGCTGTCTTACAGTGATATATGGGGGGAGAGGTGTGTATACATGTGTTTCTATATATATTTTTATGTTTATGCACAAAGCAAACCCAAACAAATCTGCTTCAGTGCCGACCTTTGCAAATTAGTCCTGTTAATCTAACCCCCCCCCAAATTCCAAGTCAGTACAAGATTGTAAGTAAAACTATAAACAAAAAGATTAAATGGCCTTTTGATAATGTGTTTAAGTCTGAATTCCACCTAATAAAATTTTTAATATTCCACAATGGAAAGGGTCAATTTATAATGTAACTTCTCAAATCTATAAATTGTTTGTACAAGTCCTCTGGTTTTGTATTTTTAGATGTCTTATTTACCATAATGTGAGGATCAACAGGTATATAGTTTTTATAAATTATCCACATAAAATATAGCATTTATGAGTTAGAGGAAGTTAAAAGCATTGATTTAGAGGCCGTTAAAGCCCTAGGTACAAGGATAAACTATTCAAATAATAATTGCTCAATTAAAAAGTCATAAACATTGTATTAAAAGACATTGAAAGTAACTATGAAGTCGCCTTTTTAACACTGATTAATGGAATGAATAAAGATTAATACTTGTAGGTTAGAATATGCAGGTTTGAACCAAAGTCCTAAGAAGGGGTTACTTCTAGTCATGGAGAAATTTTAACCTGTTGACATTTCACAGTGTTTTCTCCAAAATGATAACAATACATCCTTAATTTCAAGGAATCAAATTCTTTCTAAAATACCCAAAATTTAACAGCCGGCTCTCAGTA